TCATCATGGCAACAGGAGTTTCTTTTCCGTCCAGGTTTCTAGGTAGTGTAGCACGGCAACTGTCCTGTCCTCACAGTCCATTCGTCTCGTGTAGGAGACCCCCATCCTCGCCATCTTGATATCTGCCATCTGCCGTCAGTCGTCACCGACAGTCCAGTCTCGCTTATATGCGATGCTGTCAGACTGTCGTCAACCACCCCGAAAAAGTGCGGTCCGGTCAGCTTACCAGCCTCTTCCAAAGAGTCCAATCGGCCCGAGCCGAGAGAAGGCGGATCCAGTGCCGCAAAGAAGCTTCCATTGGATGTGTTCGGTCCCACTTGGATGTTTCTTTCTCTTCTCCTGCTTCTCCGGAGAGCTTTTCCATTCCAGGAATCCCGAATCTCCACACACGAGACACTTGTTGTGGGCTGTCCAGTCCAGGTCTGCTTCGCTTCGATGCTTGATGCTTGATGAATTGATCATTACTATTCAAGTTGCTAGCTATCTATTGATGTCTTCTGATTGGCTTTTCATGCTGGCGAAGTGATGGAAAGTTTTGAATATCATGCTATGTGTAAGAAAAGGAAGTGGTATGGCGGTGCTTCCTCGGTGACTGTGAGTGAAGTAAAGCCGCCATACTACCAATGCTGCCTCGCTTGTGTTGCTGGTATCAATTTTCCCATTTATGTCCCCTATTACCATTCTATAATGCCGCCCGAATCGACAGAGGCTTTGTTTTATAGCGTTCAGTCCCCCGCATTAATGCCGAAAATAAGGGTTGCCAGTCTATCGTTGTTCTGTTCCTCATGTGCATCGTGTTGCATGCGTGTGTATCCAAGAAGGAGAAAGTAAATCAAATAAACTCGTTTCGTCCAACGACGTAAAGGGGGTATAATGATATGGGGAAGTCCCGGTGTAAACACCAACGCCGTGTAAACCCAAAAAAAGAACACAAAAAACCACACAGAACACCCAACGGTACTGTGTGTAAATAGATACAGGAAGAAATGTTGCCAAGTGGCGGGCTGGTGGTAACAAGTCTAACCAGATGTCATGGATGTCGGTCCTCAGAACTTGTACTCGCCAAAGGGAGCGCCAAAGTTGTTGTTACGCCTCAACTTGAGAGGGATATCCAATTCCGCTTCATCCTCGCTCTTAGAGCCGCTGCTGTTTTCTTTCCCCTTGCTTGAATCGCCAGACTGGTTCTCCGCCGCATTCGACGGTCCCGGCTCGCCGTCATCAACAACAGCATCCTTCAGAACAGAAGGAAGGGCTGCCATGGTGTCCTTGCTGACTTCTTCGAGCTTATCGGAAAGCCTACGGAAGAAGATCTCGTCATGGGCGGGCATGTTCCTAACCATCAATGGACCTCTGAGAGGGCGATCCTCCGCGGGCTCATAAGCCGCAGGAGGGTCTTCGGAGACCACTGACTCCTGTTCCGCCAGTTGGATGGTGCCTTCTTGTTCGCTTATTACCCCAAATGCCTGACTGGTCATATCGTCGCCGCGCTGCAAGGTGGGTGTGCTGCTACCACTGCTATTGATGGTGCCAACTCCAGAAGACGAAGCGGTCGCCAGGACAGAGAGGGAGTGACTCGGAGTATGGCCAGCATGCATGGTGAGACGAACCGACGCTTCTGCCTGAAGGACTTGCTTGGTTTGCTCCTTTGCCGGGCTTTCCGACCTGGGTTCGGGCACATCAGGTTCGGGCATGTTAGAGGCCGGGGGTGGTGACGGAGTCTTGGTTGGGGACTTGAGCGCTTCCACTGCGGAGCCGTCTGTGAATGTCGATTTTTGAACCGAGTTGGCCTTAATGGGGATTCCCTCGAGCTCTGGATGGATTGCCTGGACATCGACGACAGGCGCGGGACTGCTAGGCCGCAACTCGGGAGACTGAGCCATAGAGTCGGCTACTACTGGACCCTGTGGACCGGGAATTGTGCTGACAGTAGTCTGATTGGGTTGTTCCGGTTGCTGAGCTTGCGTATGTTGCGTGCTTCCTTGAGAAGACCGTGAGCTTCTCATGCTCTCAGGCGAAACCTCGCCCCAGCGGACGTTGCCGATCATTCCATTATTAGAGGCATGAGCAGCCGCCAGGGCTGCAAGGTTCGCGTTGCTGGATTGTCCTCCTAGATGAGCGACCTGTTGCTGGAGTCGTTCAATCTCTTGTAGCAGCACAGCCTTCTCAGCTTCCCATTCTGCCCTCTCTTCTTCCATGAGAGCTCGCTCCTCCTTATACACTTCTTCAGCGCGCTCCCTGTTTGCTTCCAAGTACTTGCGCTCGGCTTCCCAGGCTTCTCTGATCCGGCCATTTTGTTGGACTAGGCGCCGGACCATCTGTGCGTTCGAGGGTGCGTTCACAGCGTCCGCCAAAGCCGAGCGGGCCTGTCCGGCAGAGACAGAGCTGATAGCCGGCACCGAAACACCTGAAAAGGCATCGCCAGGGGAAGCACTCAAGCCATCCATCGATGTCGTTAGTGGCGGAGAGAGGATCGAGAGCTGGGCTTTTGCAGCCTGGCCTGACTTGGATCTTCGCAGGTTGGGAGGAACGCTGGTAGATCGTTGTTGTTCGAACTGATACTGGAGTCCTTGTTGAATGGGCGCTAGGGTGGGCGACATGAACTTGGACGTGTGAGCGGCGACAGGGCCACGAAAGTTGGGAGATAGTGGTGAATAAACGTGGCGTCCGGGGACAGAAAGCTTGGAAGGCGCCTGCAGAGTGGGATTGCTGGTGACTGAGGCAAGATCGAAGTAGCCGGCGGCACCTCGGGGCAACGCGAGGGGAGAGATGAGCGAGGAAGAGTCGGCGCCCAGACTGGGAAGAGGGAAGCGCATGCTAGTGTCGATAGAACCCGAAGGCAGGAACGAGTCGGCGCCCATCCTGGTCATGGTAGAGGAAGACATGGCGGAAGGTGATGAGCTAGGTTGTTTTCGAGCGAGGAGAGAAAGTGAGGAAGGCGGTTGCCAAGTAGGTATCACTGGCGCCCAAGGTCGGTGTGGTTCGTGGTCTTAGTGTATTGATGTCATCCGTCATGCCACACCAGCAAGGGACCGCCGCAGATTTTTCGAACTTGTCTTTATACCCTGGTCCTGGCCAATGTATGTACTTGGTACGCTGTAAACTTGGGGGTCCAGCTGTAAAAAACCCTTTTGTCCGTATGTCGTTGTAAGACAAGGGCTCTTGGCTGAAAGTTGCACGATGGGTTGAGCTGTGGTGTAGTGGATGGTCTTTGCCGGTGCTGGTTGCAGATAATGTTCGTGGAATATGTTCGTTTGAAAAACTGGCGGGAAAGTGACGACAAGGTAACGGGTGCCCTCGAGGGTTTTGATGTTCTGCAGGTCCGAATGCTCTCGTACCGGAAAGTCTGAGGGACTTTGGTTCGGCGGATCCGATGTCCCAAGTTCCACTTTGGTAGGCGCGGTGTTGGGTTGCGGTGTAAGATGGCAGCGACGGTTGTCGATGGGATGGCAGTCTGCGAGAACGCGTTGGCTTGGACACGTAGGTGGTAATTGCTCGTAGAAAGTTTCGACTGGAGATGGAGAAGTTAAGTTGGAGACAACTACGGAAAGCGATGAGACAGAAAGTGAGAGGGAGAAAGACCGAGACTTTGATGGAGAGGGTGAGGTGGTGGTGGTATATTGGTGCCAGCTAGGTGGACGGGCGGAAGTGGAAGCAATGAGCATCCCTTGGCACCTGCGTACTGTGCCCTGTGTGTTCGACTGGGAGAGCGCTATGGGCGCGTAGCATCCGTCGGGCTGGGAGACGAGACCACCGACAGACACTGGGCCCCTTCGTTTTCCACGCTTCCACTCGGGTTCGCTGTGACGCAACCACGAACCCGCAAAATGGCGGGCACGGCGGGGCCCATAAGAAGCAGCCTGTCCAGCCAAACGGGGCGACCAATCAGAGGCTTTGTAACAGGCTCAAGTGGGCCTGCAAGTGTGGCATCTGCGGCCCGCATTTTCCCCTTTTTAGTCGACCATGAGCTTGCTTTTGTACATTCCGCTACGACACCCTCCATTCGTCCTTCATCATTCCGTCGCCCGTGACGCCAGAGTGCTGATTTCTGGGCCGTCCTGTCACTCAAAACGTTTCCTTTCAGCCTGTACGTCTTTGCTTTGTCGATCGTGCCTGGTATCGATGGCTGGGACGGGATTTGGATGACACAGCATCATCGGTTGCTAGCAGACGGTACCTCGCACAAGGGCACAACCCAAAGGGGGATGGGCTTCCACATGCCGTGCCCTTTTTGCCGTCACTTCCCCACGATTGGCAAAGTCGGTCCGTCGAAAAAAGTCGGAGATTTTGGGGTTGTTGACCGCTGGTGCGAGCCTCAGCAGGCCCAGTGGATGGCAGCGGATGGCAAGTGGATGCGAGTCTCCTGGGCCGACTTCTTTTTTTCTGCATGTCATGTGTCCATGTGGCTCGAATTACCAGACCGGGGATGGGCCTGCTCCTGCCTCCTGTTCCGAATCTTTCCCGGCCCGCAGCATTCAAACAACCGACACCGAAACGGAAACGGGGCCGTGCCTTTTTTTGGACGGGCTTGGTGATGAAGGGGTCCAAGTGGCCGGCATTAAATTTCAGATACGTCAGCTGCATCTGGCTACTGGCCCTATCGCGACAGGTACATGCTTGTGTCAACATGTGTAAACATGTGTTCTCCCATCACCAATTCGTCCCTTTCTTGCAAACCCGTACCTGCTTCGTTCGCATGGAACCTGGCATGGGATTGCATGGATGAGCTGGCAATCAGGGCCAGTAACCGACAGATGGAGGCCAGCCAACAACGACCGGTATCTTTTGGCTGTCGGAGACGGGAGAACTGACGGGCCAGTGGAAGCCGAGGTCGCTCAAAGGCTTCCAGGGCTCTGGTTCGGTGGATGACAGAGGTCTCACGACATGCCATGTAGCCGGTCTGTACGCGGCCTTCAGCTTGTAGATGGAGGTGAATCTTGGTACTCTCTCCTTGGTCCGTCACCTACATATCTCACTGCTGCACCGTCTCATACATATCATGCAAGCAGCAAGTCATCCAAACGCAGTACAAGCCACAGCTTCACATAACTCATTCAGCGTCCCCCGCCAGCTCCTGTCGACGTGCTTGCAAACCCATATTCGCTGCCGCGGTCAAACTCACCGCCTGGTGGTCGGTTTCGGTTTCTTGGCCCAACATCCAGTGCGTGTTGACTCATTATTCGGGGGTTGTGGTGCGGTCGTCGGTGGGACCTTTGCTTAACCCCCAAGTACTCTTCTCTGACAACGCGAGCTCCCGTTTCACAAGCTGGAAGCTGGAAGCTCGAACAAACAAAGTGTCCTGAGCGTCCTTCTCCAGCTCCCCAGCGACTGCATCCCAGTTCCGCCAGTCGCCAAAATCTAGGCCCCACGAATCCCGCTCACGGCTCAACCGCTCCCGTCCCGTCGTCTAAACTCATCCGACGCCCATTTACTAGCAAAATGGTTCTCAAGCCACTTCTCCCCCTTTTGCCAAGTATCAAACGCGGGGAACGGGCCGCGTGCCGAACGAGCAAGAAAAAAAAGGGGATCAAAACTCCAAATATCATCCCCATGACCCCTTGACTTTTCTTACTCATTCTGGACGAGAACATGCCGAATGGCTGACCTGATTGGTTCGTTTGCAAGGGCCCTTACCGAACCAATGGGACTGTGTGTAACCCACGCCGCGCACATGGCGTGTCCCCTTCCACTGTCCGTCAGCTCAACCCCCAATTCAGATGCCGCGTCGAAAGGAGCACATGATTGATTTCCCCAAACACCTTCCCCAGGAATGGCAATCCGTCTATCCACTACGACGTTGCGCTAGAACACTATCGAGAAGCAACTGAGAAAAGGGCCTTTTTCCGTGTCGCCATCCTGGAACCGAACCGTCTTTCCATGGACCTCCCCCCTCGTCTTTTCCCGCCCAGTGTGGGGACCCCGGATTTTTCAGTCGGCAGTGTGATGAATTCAAGGTATTTACAAACGAACCAAGTACCTTTGGATTGATGTTGTGATTTTCCTAGACATTTTACGACACAGTCTTCATTCCATTGTCGCCAGCTCTATCTGATTCGGCACACATACACCGCTGGCTTTCCCCGAGTTCAAGCACCCAGAATCTGTCACGTAAGGAGAATGGTGGTCGGCCGGGGTTTGCCGGAAATCATATCCGGCTCGCGCTACCCCGTCTTCACCTTGCCGTCTTCCCAGGGTTCGATGGTCATTCGAGGGACCAGGACCCTGACAATCCCGACTGCCCCGAGGTCCCTATGCTTCCCTCAAAGTCCATGATTTTCGCGGGGGTTGGGGTTCATTGTGTGGTTCAACCCCCCTTTCCAGAGTGCAAAGCGTCCACGCTGGACGGCAATAGCAAAATGCTATTTGTCTGTTCAATATGCATTTCCTGCACGCTCAGCGGCCCGACGCCTATCCCGCGCGGGTTGAATATGGAAGTTGTCATTTCTGGATGTCATGGGATGCAGCAAAAGCATCGCTTCACATCCCGTACACATGTCTCCCACGCGTGCCGGTATGGGATGGGGAACTAGGTATGCATGAAGCTGGGCCTCTCTGGGCGTTCGCCGGGTACGGAAACCACACACACGCGCTCAAGTGGGCATATGTATGTGTCAATAGCATTGTTTTGTGTCTGCACCGCTTTAGTGCCCCCCTTCCCTTTAGTTCCCCCTCAAACTCCTTTATAAACCGTTGGGACAAGTTTCCCCGTTATAACCTAAAAAACAAAGACTCCAATGTCGTGTGTACCCCTGAGTCGGGTACGGGTATCTCGGCGTTCGTTGCCTTTGGGGTATCTTTGCCAGCCCGCCGTCTGCCCAAACCGTGTACCATCCCTGAATGCCAACTTGTGGAAAAGTGAAAAGAAAATAATCAGAAAAAAAGAAAAAGAAAAAAGTAAAACTCCTGTGACCCCAAAAACGCCGCATCCTTTCCCCGTATTAGCATGATTGCATCCCATTGGCGCCCATCTCGCTGCTGTGCCTGCAGCCCCCGTGAGCCCCTAATCCCCTTTGAGGTTTGCTCAGTCGATGTGACAGAAAACGTTTGTCATGGCTAAGACATTGGCAGAAGCTTTCTCATGAAGGCGGTCATCGATGGTGGTTGCTCGCCGGGCTGTCTGCAGTTGCCGCACACGGCTTGTGGTCTGTTGTGACACTCAAGATCAGCATATGTTTACCGACGTCTCACCAACGCTTCACCGATGAAAAAGCGAGGTCCGGCGACAGTGAGGGAGTCAAAACTGCGCAGACAACAAAAAGAGCCTTACCTTTCCTCAAAGTCCATTATTGTTGGTTGGCACTTCTTGCGTCTCTCTTTATAATCGGCGCAGTGTTTAGAGGCGAGCCACCTGATGTGACCGCAGGAATATTCTCTCTGTGCGATTCTACTGTCAGTGTATGTTTCATCGCAATACTCGGGGTAAACCGGAATCTTTTATTACTTACTTGTGTATAGTTGCACATTTTACTAGTAGCGGGAGGAGTGAAGTGAACATCAGCGTGGCGACGAGTGCTGATGCTAAAGTGATGAATCAGAGAAAACCCCAGGAAGGGTTCTGGCACAAGTCTTATAATCAAAATAACAAACCCATGGGGGAGAGGGAGCGTGGCTTGCCCCAGGGCAACGAGGGCGTGGTATGGTGAGGCAAAGGTGAGCTGGGTGAGCTGGGGCTGGGGGCACCGTACCCGATGCCAGACAAGTCAGTCAGTCAGTCGGTGTCAGATCTTACCTTGTTCATGGTTATTTTGTATCACACAAGTCGCTAACGACTAACGCCCGGGTGAGAGGCATAACACTTCATTTCTCCATGTTAATTACCTACCTACCTACTCGTCGTTCAACGCCAATGTTGTGGCACCATCCCTTGCATTGGGGCGGTTTTGGATGGAGAGAATGCCATGCTTGGGAAATGCTGAGACCAGCAAGAATCCCATCTCAAAGCCAGTGTCTCACTCAACTTTTCTTATTGCTATCAACACGCAGCTGTCGGTTGTCAAGAGAGCCTCTGTCAGAAATCGACAAAAGTAAAGTCAGAAGCAACAACCGGTAGTTGTCAACGGATGAGGAATGATGGGAGCAAAAGCACAGGTAGCCACGACGGCCCGTTTGGATCATCCAAGACATCTTGGACCTTGGTGGCGGAACCCGTAATGTGTATGTGTGTCTGTGTCTTTCGGTTTGAACCCTCCGCAATGCAAGGCTGAGACTCGGTGTAAGTACTTGATCTGAAAAGGCCCCATCTCCTCCGTGAGGACTCGTGAGACCCTACGGTCTTAGACCGTATGATTCCAAACGTTACGGTTGAGCTTAACTCTCCAAAACTGCTCCTTGCCACAGTTGAGTGCTGACCATTCTATCAGTGTGTCGACCACGCACCGCGTCTTGTACAGTTCAGCACCAACTGTCGAACCTACTAGGAAACGTAGGCAACTTTACGCGACAGAGCTCGACTGGTTCTTTGGCTTCCGTAACACAGAACCCAGGCAACCGTCCTCACCAAATCCCGACATACATAGGGCAATGTCCACCTTATCATCAGGCCATTCTCCCCAGAAAAAGACCGAACGGTTTGTCTCACCCTCAATTTGACGTGCGAAAGCATGTCCAGCCAGTATCCGGAGCCTTCAATTACCGCAGGACATTGCCCCGTGGACTTACAGGAAGAAATCTAGGTAAGATGGGATTGGAAAATACACGAGTAGGTGCCACAGAAAGCAACACAGAAAGCGGCGAGGGAGTCATCAAGCTCGTAAGATGGCCAGTCACCGTCGCCCCATCTTTGGTTCAACAAAGTCAGCTCCATCTCCATTACCTCAACCAGCAAGAAGATCTGCTCATACGGAGCAATAGCGACCTTGGGTTGTAGCCAGCAAACCTTGTTACAACCGAGATAAAGACAGACCGAGAAGATGAAAGATAAAGGATGGATCCTTTTCGTCGGTTGTTTCAGCAGACACGGGAGGGAACCTAAGAGAGACGGACGGAAAGGAAGCAACGGGATTTGGAGTCGTACCGAGACTGAGCATGACCGCAAAGCTGAAGGTTAGTAAATGAATCCTGTCTCCAAGATGAGTGATGACTGCGCTGCGCAAGCACATGGTACCTAGGGGATTTGTAATGCCCGAGCTGGTGCGCTGTGCCATTGATTGATGGGATATCTGTCATGATGGGGAAGATGTTGTTGTCTGCGGCAGAGGTTTTCGTGGTTACCTATGCGTGAAAGAACCGAGAGTGAGGACAATCCATGCTCTCTCTCACCTTTAGCTCTCACCTCCTCCGCCTCACCCTTATGAAGAGAAAGGACGAGACATGAACGACTATTCGTCTGTCGTCACACACGAGAAAGGTTCCGGCTCGAGCGTTTACAGTTACACATGGTACTTGATCGGGCAGCAGGGTTTCTGACGCGCATTCGACTCCATATCCTGTCCCTTGACAGACCCAGTCCCTCCCATCTTATCTCGATCTTATCAGTCATGGCGGTTTCACTTAAAATACCCTCCTTTGATGGTTTGAGACGTTTGCTTATCTGACTCATTCCAGGGGGGAGAGAGCACGTAGACTAGATTGCAGTTTAAGAGCGAGTGAACTAAATGGACTATATGTTCATGTAGTTCCGACGATGGCAGGAATTACCTATACATGTAGTACACAAGGTCGATCAAAACCCCTTAGGGTAGGTAGGTACTTTACAGCCGACAGGAGGTCACACGTATGTGGGATGAAGAGAAACACAACAATCTTAAACGTTTGTTCCGAGAGGAAAGTTTGAGTGTTACTCCCGTGGATTGAAGGTAGGAACAGCCGCAACTAAGGTACTGGGTACGCACCTTCGAGGCCCCTGATTTTTAGTTGTGCGGTATATGCGGCATTTCGTGGTGTTGAAGTTGCAGAGGGTCCTTTATATGGACCTCTCACTTCGTAAGTACCTTAGGCAGAGAGTGCATCAAGACACTTCTTTCCGGCAAGAGGATCGTCTGAGGCTCAGTGTCCAGACTGGCAAGTGGGCGATTCTTATACTCTCACCACTCTCCTCTAGAGTCGAGAAGACGACGCCAGTCGTTCAGCGGCTAAGGACTTAGAGTGCCTCCCCGCTCAAAACGAACGCTCTTATGGGGCCCCTGTTCATCAGGCGAGAAGGCTATGGCTCAAACTGACGAGTTGCAGAAATCCTGGAACTTTGGACCTTTGAGTGTCTCTATGGTCTGACATGGTCGTGGCTTCCAGGCTGGTATCTTGAAAATCGATTGTCCATCCTTCGTTGGTGTAAGCTCGGTAATTCATGGTCACCCACCCGAGGAAGACGAACAGCAGCTGCTGGTTGTGCCAGAGACAATCCCATGGCAAAACACAAGCAACGCAATCATCTCGAAACCGAGTATCTACAACACCACTTCAAACACGAAAGTATGAGTCTACAATGACCATGAGAACCGATGACGGTAGCTCGGTCGTTGATTCGCATTGCAGTGGACTAGACCATTAGCAACACTGAGCAGCTCGGATCTGACTTGGCAGTGTTTGAAGCGAAGCGATTGTTAAGGACAGCAAGAGACCTCAACTGGTTTGGACTGAGGCGAGTAGCACCAAGGCGATGAGCTCAGATTGACTTGAAAGCTGGTTTCCACTGATGATGCGGGTCATATACTGCAACGTCTACTATTGATGCGGTCTTCTCTGATTGAAGAGGACCTCACCGAGGTAGGTCCTTTTTTGTTCTGGCCGTATTGCTTGGAAACTTTGTAGCATGTGCTGATGCTGTCGGAGGGTCTCTAGAGCAACGGAACTTCAAGTTCTCAAAATTTGACGGCCGGAAAGGGGCTATTGCTCTGCCGAATCCATCCATCCAAAGCCGAATAGGTGTTCCTGTTCCAACCCCCAAACTTCATCCGCCTGGCCGAAACTCATCATCTGACAGTCTGTGTTGATAGTAAGGCGTCACCGTTTTCCATGGTTGATCACCGTTGATCTTCCAGAGACTGG